ATCCTAAAATGCCCCAAAGGACCTTCTCACCCTGATCAGGGGCCCCATGGAGCATGGGACTTGTCCATGGAGGGGAGACCCCAGCGGACACATTACCTGGGCCCCACTGAGCCCGGCCAGGGGAAAGGGTCGGGCACCACCATCCTGAGGGGAAGGACTCGGGGCCCTTGAAGGGGTCTGTCCCCACCTGGTGGCTGGAAGTTCAGGCCCCACCCAGCCCAGCAGGACAGCTCTGTGTCCCCTCTGATACGGGGCTCAGGGTCCAGACTACCGTGGTGTCCAGATGGGACCAGACTCCAGGGCCCTGAGCCGGGGGTAAAGGCCAAGGGTCCTGTGTGCAGAGGGAGGGGAGCCTAGGGCTGGGGTGAGCAGGAGGGCAGGGAGTCCTGGTGACATCCTGGCCTTTTCACAGGGGGGCACAGGGGGTGTCAGAGCAGCCTGGGGGCCCGGGCACATCTCCCTCCCCACGGCCACTCTCCAGGGGGACATGGAGGCTGGGAGGGAGGCAGAGGGTGAGGATGAGCAGGTCACTCTGGTGAGAGGGAGACAGGAGACTGAGAGAGTGTTTCTGAATGTCTCCAGCTTGGCTCAGCCAAATGAGAGCGTCTGCAATGGGCTCTAAGGACACAGTCTGATCCCACAATGCCCCGGGGTCTGTTTCTTGGTGATTCCAGGAGACTCAAATGCAAAACCCTCCCCCCAAGTCATTGCACTTAGCCCGCTTCGCTCCTCTTGCTGGGCCCGGTCTGCAGGCAGCTGGGGGAGATTGTGGGGACCAAGGGGAGAAGCAGTGCCCCATGGGAGGTCTAGTGGAGGTGGGAGTGGACACCAGCCCAGACCTGATCATAGGACCCCAGTGGTGAGGACCCCTGACTCTTAGGCACGTCCTCTGAGCAGCACTCACTCAGGTTCCCTCTTCATTTCCCGCCTTCCTCTCAGCCCATTTCTATTTCCTTGTGATTGAGGCGCCTCAAACCCCAAGTATCCAATCTGGGCTGAGCAGAGGAAGAGAGGGCCCTAGCCCTAAAGCAGGAAGTAGGCATCCATATTACTCAATCCCCATAGAGGGAGGAGCTGGCCCAGCCCCCGCTCTGCGTATGGGAGACTCAGGGGTGAGTGTGGGAGACCAAGGGCAAGCGGAACAGACCTGACCTCTCATCAGAGGCAGAGGGGGGAGGCCCTGAGCTGAGACCAGAGGGTCAGGTGGGAATGAGCCAAGCCAAGGACAGGAGCCCTCAGCCTGGGATGAGGCCGAGGTCCAGCAGGAACAAGGTGTTTGTGAAAGTGAAAGAAAGTCTGGGTTTCTGAAGGTAATGTAGCCAGAGGGCGTGAGAACAGACGGATCCAGACAAAGAGAGGGGCTAGGGGCTCATTCCAGCTGAAGATACACCTGGAGAGGACGCTAAGGGAAATCAATATTTTTCCTGAAAATGAAACTTGTATGAAAAACTCCATTTTAAATGGCGGACTCACCCTCCTGCATGTGGATCGTCTGGCCCAGGCAGAGCACTGCAAGGGAAGGTCTGGTGAGAACAATGCCCAGCACCCGGTTCTTCCCCCACCTGCAATCAGGGGGCCTTCCTGGAGGCAGCAGGCTGGGAC